ATGAAGTGCCCAGCGCTCTGGGTGGGGATGCCAGATCGTGCCCCGAGCTTGGGAGAGGAGATCTGTTCTGACTGGAATGGGCCACGGGGCTGTCTGTGACAGCTGAGTGAGCTCCGGAAACCAAGTCTGACCTTCCCAACGCGGGGCTATGAGGAGCACCGAGTGGCGTGTTTCCCTGATTCTCTGAAGCACCTGTGGTAGCAGAGAAATCGGAGGGAATGCATAAAGCGGGCGGCTGGGCCAGGTCTGGGCTAGCGCGTCCTCGCGTTTTGAGAAAAATATTGGGCAGTGGGTGTTTTCTTCTGAGGCGAAGAGGTCCACCTCTGCTCTGCCGAATATTCGCCACAGCTTTTGGACTGTAAGAGTGTGCAGGGACCATTCGCCAGGGGGAATGGGGTTCCTGGACAGACTGTCTGGACCGTCGTTCAGATGGCCCGGCACGTGCGTCGCTCTGAGCGAGAGCAGGTGACACTGGGACCAAACTAGGATGCGTTCTGTCAGCCGGAAGAGAATTCTGGATCTGACACCGCCCTGACGGTTTAGATAGGAGACCACAGCCATATTGTCCGAACGGATCAGCACATGGTGACCGTGAATGCGCGGCAGAAAGCGCGTGAGCGCGTTCTCGACCGCCAGCATCTCCAAACAGTTTATGTGGAGGAGACTCACCTGAGCTGACCAGGGGCCGAAGGCCGGTGAGCCCTCGCAGACCGCACCCCAACCCATGTTGGATGCGTCTGTCGAAATGACTTTTCGGCGAGAAAAGGTCCCCATGGAAACGCCCCGCTGAAACCATTCTGTCATGGTCCATGGCTGCAGAGCTGTGATACAGGTCTGCGTTACCTTTATCAGCTGGCGGCCCGTGGTCCACGCGCGGTGAGACACACGGCTCTTCAACCAGAACTGAAGCGGGCGCATGTGCAGTAACCCCAGCTGGAGCACTGCGGAGGCTGAGGCCATGTAACCCAGCGCCCTCTGAAAAGTTTTCAGAGGTGTGAGTCTGTTCATCTGAAAGGATGCGGCGAGACGCTGCACACGGCGCGTGCACTGTGTAGACAGGCGAGCCGTCATCGAGACCGAGTCTAGCTCTATACCCAAGAAGGAGATAGTCTGACTGGGTTGAAGTGCGCTCTTTGTCCAGTTGACAGAGAGGCCCAAGCTTTTCAGATGGTCGAGGAGAACTGTACGATGAGACAGTAGCTCCCTCTGTGATTGTGCCAAAATCAGCCAGTCGTCCAAATAGTTCAGTATTCGCAGCCCCTGACTCCGCAGGGGGGTGAGCGCCGCATCCATGCACTTCGTAAATGTGCGGGGTGCTAGGGATAGGCCGAACGGGAGGACGGTGTATTGATAAACCTGGCCTTCGAAGGCGAAACGTAAGAATGGCCTGTGAAGGGGATTTATCTGAATCTGAAAGTAGGCATCTTTCAGATCTAGTGAAATGAACCAGTCCCCCTGGCGCACATGCACGAGGAGTTTTCTGATAGTGAGCATTTTGAACGGTCTCTTCATGAGAACTTTGTTCAGAAATCTGAGGTCTAAGATTGGTCTGAGGCCGCCGTCTTTCTTTGGAACCAGAAAATAACGGCCGAAAACCCCGACTCGCTCATAGATAGAGGGACTCTCTCTATAGCCCTTTTGCACAATAGTTTTGCTATCTCTGAACGGAGCAGAGTCACTGCTTCTGGGTTCACAATAGTCTCTAGCCGCGTTCGGAAACGTGGAGGGCGGCGGTGAAACTGTAAGCGATAGACTAGCCTTATTGTGTTTAGCACCCACCGGGAAATTCCCGGAATAGCTTCCCACGCTTTGAAGCGTAACGCTAAGGGGTGAATGGCTACATGGTCCCCGTTGCTGCACACAGCGGGCCGCGCGGGCGCGCTCATCGTGTTTATGACAGCGGGACTTACACTCAGAGATGAGTTTAAGGGCCGTGTAACAGAGTGGGCAGAGGTGGGACGCGCACACGGGCTCGTGGGCGCGCTTATGTACTCTGAAACTCGAGCGGGTAGGAACCGCTTTATGAGAGTGGGCTCTGTGAGACACACGGGAACTGAAATGCTTTTGTGTATGAGTGAACACAGTGTTGTGGGCACATTTTCTACACGTGAGGCTTTTATGCTCTTTTTGAGATTTCTCTGGGTCGCCGTGAAAACGGCGTTTGTGCTCATGCAAGCGGGAAAGGGAACCGGCTTGGTAATGGCGGGGTACACTGCTGTAGTAGCCGCGTGAGCGGGGACTAACAGAGGGCGAAACTTTGACGGCGGTCCGGCCTCGGCGGGAGAGCGCCGTCTTTTTCTCAGCTGTGCTAGGCAGACTTTGAGTGATCAGGTTTCAGCGTGATCCTGGACCGAGGCCCACGGGGAGGCGGCGGTCTGTGGCGGCTGTCGGAGCGAGAACGAGGGCGGCCGCCCTGGCGTCGCTGAGAAGTCTGACTGTGCTGAGCTGGGCGCTGGGGTGGGGCTCGTGCAGGAGGCTGGTCACGTGAGCGGCCTGCAGAGGAGCTAGCGCGACGAGGCAGAAAAAGATTCATGGCCTGGGAGGCTTTCTGCACTTCGGAGAAACGGTCAACGATACCCGTGACAGCAGATCCGAAGAGGCCGGACGGAGAGAGCGGGGCGTTGAGAAAAGCGGCGCGCTCGGAATCTCCCATGTCGGCGAGCGTGAGCCACAAATGTCTTTCAGACACGCAAATGGCGGCCATACATTTCCCCAGGGCTTGAGCAGCAGACTTTGTAGCGCGAAGGGCAATGTCCGTAGCGCTCCTCAAATCCGCGACTGAGGGGGGATTTTTTCCGCTCTCGTCCCACTCACGCAGTAAATCACCCTGTAAAATCTGGAGGACGGTCATGGAGTGAAGTGCAGAGGCTGCTTGGCCGGCGGCTGAGTAAGCGCGCGCGTGGAAGCTTCGAAGTCGCTCTGCAGGCTTTAGAAGGAAGCACAGGTGATGAGCGCCATCTCGTGGAGGGCGGGCACAGATGTGCGGCGACCAGGTCCTCTACAGGGGGAATGGAAAGATAGCCCTTTTCTGCGGCTCCGTCCACAACGCGAAGCGGGGCGGAAGAGTCGGAGCGAGTTCTGGCAGAGAGCAGGGGAATTCCAGGACTTTGTGAGTTCCGCGTGCAGTTCGGGCAAGAAGGGCGCGGCCCATTTAGTGACGGGAGTCGAGCGCTGGCGGAAATAGCTGCCGTCCATACGGTTGATGGTCTGCTCGGGGGGAGGAGACCAATCGAGCCCGAGGCGTTCGACGGCCTGTGAGAGGAGGCGCACTAATTCCTCCTCAATTCCAGCGCGGGTCCTAGAGCATTCTCGGGCCGAAGAGGCGTGAGAACCGGACCAATCCTCACTGTCTGAAGCGAGAAGCGAACATGTCTCCTTGATGTCCGCGGCGTCGTCGGAGGCGACAGAGCGGCCACTCGGCGGCAACTGTATGTCCGGAAGCGGCGGAGAAGGAGAGCGGGAGGCGACAGGCTCCGGCGGGATGAACGCTTCTGGCTGGGGTTCCGGCGGCCTTTGCGAGCGGCGTTTCTTCTTACGCGGCGAAGTCGAAGGCGGCGCGGAAGCAGCTTTTGTGGCCTGAAGTCGAGCCCGCAGGGTCGACAACGGCATCTCCTCGCAGAGATCGCAGCCGCCATCGGCGAGGGCGAGCTCGGCGTGCTCCAATCCGAGGCAGAGAGCGCAGATGACGTGGCGGTCTCCAGTCTCGAGGGGAGCGTGGCAAGAACCGCAGGAGGAAAAACGAGACATCTTTACAAAGACGCTCGGCTCTTTTAGATACACACACACACAAAACAAGAAGCTTTTGATAAAGGATATGAATCCGTCGGATGGCGCTAGCTTGCAGGACGGCTGAAGGTGGCGAAGACGGCCGGCTTCCTCAGTCTCCCAGATGCTCGCTAGAAGGTGCCTTTTCCACGACGGCGGCTTCTCTCAGGATCAGCAGATGCGTGTAGCCTCTCTGAAGAGATGAAAATCAGAGTTTACAGCCTGAGAGGCGAATTTATACTCTCTGGCCACGCCCGTTTCGGCGGGCTCTGACGCAATGAGAGCAGGTCAGACTCTCATTGGCCGAGAGTTCATTCGTGTCTCCTCATAGGCTTAAGCAGTTCCCTGTGAGCGAGCCAATGAGCTGCTAGCTAGCCTGCTCATGCTCTGCTGCAGCTGAACTGCATTGACAATGGATACAAAATTATAGGATAATTTTTGGCTTCAATTTCTCAGAAAAGATGAATCTTTCCCGCAGCGTAAGCTAGCTTACGCAATACGAGAGAACCTCTCGTAAGAGAACATGCTGTAATGTACCCTGAGTGTAAACCGACGCATTCATCGTGAAGCGTGCAGCTGGCGATTTGCAAAGATTATATAAATATTAATATAAAGATTAATAAAACGTTACACTCACTTTAGTTTTTCTGAAGGTTCAGCAGGAAGATGAATAGGTTCCGATCCTTTATTCAGGTGCAGCTTCTCAGCAAAACCAGCTTTACACTGATCCTCGTTTATAAAGCAGTCCACTGAGAAATGATTCGGCAAACATGAGAGCTGACGTTGCTCGTGGGGAATATTCCCTTCGAAAACAAACTCAGCCACTGCGTCTTCAGCGGTTCGGATTTAGGAACATTAAAATGACTGCTGTGTTCGTTATTACACCCAAGAACAGAACACCACAATCGCTTAGACGCCATTCTGCTCATAGACAGTGCTCCAGCATATCAACAATGACCGCGCCGATCCGCGCGGACTATGATTGACAGGACGAGCGAGGGCGGGTCTGTGTTGAATCACTGTCAATCAACAATCGCGGGAGGGGCGTCCGTTTTATTGACGTCACAAAAACGAACGGCTCAATTTGAGGCAGGGGAAAACATATAAGGAGATTAAAACAAAAACACTGGATGGATTTTTATCATTATATGATGGTTGTGTACAGGCACTGCCAACACACATTTCAGTACAATCAACTTGTAAAAGTGCATGTACCATTATATGACCCCTTTAAGATGCCAGAGCACTGTGCAACATATTCCTGTTCAAATCGCCGGACCATCGCAAATAGGGCTCGGGGGATTACTTTTCTCAAGTAAGATTTAACATTACCGTACTAATGGTTGTATTTTGTGAATAGAATATTACCAGAGAGAGGTGAGAAGGAGCAAGGATCTTTGATATTACTGTACTGAAATCGTAGCCAGCTAGCTAGGCTATGTTTACTGCACCGACCAGTGTTCACCCGGCTATGAACTGAGACTTGTTAAAGGGTTAGTTCACCCAAAAATGAAAATTAAGTCATTAATTACTCACCCCCATGCTGTACCAACCCCGTAAGACCTTTGTTCATCTTCGGAACACAAGTGAAGATATTTTTTATTAAATCTGAGAGCTGGATCACTGCTATAGGCTGCCAAAGGGAATGATACTTGACGGCCCAGAAAGTCATTAAAGAAAATGTTTAAATATTTCATGTGCCTACAGTGGCTCCACTATAAGTTTATCAAGCGACGAGAATACTTTTTGTGCGGAAAAACAAACAAAAATAACGACTTTATTCGACTATTCCATTGCTTCCTTGTGGGCCTAAGACGACGGTTCAAGAGATTTCCAGGACGCATGCGCGAGAACTGACATTCTTCTTCTACTACACACTACACAGCGCGCGTCTTACGCCCGTTTCACACATACTCCGTTTGCAGTGCGTATGCGGTGCGTATTTTTTTCCGTACCCATGTTAACAGGTTAGAGCTTTCACACTGCACGCGGATGCGGTCCGTCGATCCGTTCCAGTTGCGGTGCGTATACAGCAGTGCAGAGATCGTTTACGCACCGAGTCTATTTTTGCTGTGCTGCAAACGCTGAATTAAAGTGACAGCGCACGGTTCGTGGTCAAAATGAACAAAGACTGACCTGAATATGTAGTAATTTCACCATAAATGCATTTAATTCAATAAAATGTAGTAATCTCACCATAAATGTATTTAATTAAATAAAATGTAACCATAAATGCATTTAATTAAATACTACTTTGTTCACAGTCATCTTTTTACTTTAAGACCGGGGTAAAGCAAAGAAAGCTACAATTTACTTCAACAAGGCCCCATAATGAACGACACTCGTCTCATTCGTTGAGGTGGAAAAACGTCTCGGTTACGGATGTAACCCTCGTTCCCTGAGTAGGGAACGGAGACGTTCCGTCGGATGACGACGAATGGGGGTTTCGCTTAGAAAGCCAATCGACTTCGAGTACTACAAAACGAGCCAATGGCAAAGAAATGCCATGGGTCTGCGGAATTTGCATAGCGTAACTCCGCCTCACCTCGTGGGTATTTAAGGAGGACGCTGGCAGCAAATAGGCATGTTTTCTTCGCTGAGGAGCCAAGACTGAGCTCAGGCGATCCCCGCGGTACAGCGGAAGTGGCAGACAGACGGAACGTCTCCGTTCCCTACTCAGGGAACGAGGGTTACATCCGTAACCGAGACGTTCCCTTTCGTTGTCACTCCGAGTTCCGTCGGATGACGACGAATGGGGATACCAGTCTAATCACGCCACCTTCCCAGCTGTCTTCCAGTGCCCTGCGTAAATCTGAGATCCCTGTCGTGAGACTAGCACGGACGAAGGACTCCTATTTAACACAGGAATACCAAGGTACACTGGGGAGCATATCCCAGATCTTAGGGAAGTATGCAATTACTGCCAACCCAGAGGGGGGGACTTAAGAATACACATATGACCCGAGGGATGCATATGGGGAATCACTGGGGTGTCCAGCCGCAGGTGGAATATTTCAACCCCAGGGGTGGCAAGGTGGCTTGCCAAGGGAAAGACACATGCTCAGAGAGGCTTACAGTGGGAATACACATGTGGGGGTAGCTCAGGGAGGTACCATGCACACGGGAGGCACCTAGCCGACGCGCAGGCAAGAGACACTGGCGCCGACGTCAGGAGTGCTGGAGGAACTCAGGGCTTTCGGAGAAGCTCACCTGAGGAGAATATCGCACGTATCCAGTCCGTAGAGTGGAATGGCGAGCAAGCGAAGACACCTGAGCGGGTCCGGTACTAGCTGGTTGAAGCGAGTACATGAGAGGACACAGGCTCCACTCGGAGATTGTAGAATCTGGCGAATGTGTTAGGTGTCGCCCAGCCTGCAGCTCTGCAGATGTCTGTTAGCGAGGCGCCATGCGCTAGAGCCCAAGAGGATGCCACACTCCGGGTGGAGTGGGCAGTCACACCAAGGGGGCACGGTCGACCTTGCTGCTGGTATGCCAAAGCAATGGCGTCCACTATCCAGTGAGACAACCTTTGCTTGGAGAGAGCCTTTCCCTTCAGCTTCCCACCATAACAGACAAAGAGCTGGTCTGAGGTCCTGAAACACTGCGTTCTGTCTACATAGATGCGAAGAGCACGTACTGGACAGAGCAGTGCCAAGGCTGGGTCTGCCTCCTCCTGGGGCAGCGCTTGCAGGTTCACCACCTGGTCCCGAAAGGGAGTGGTAGGAACCTTGGGCACATATCCAAGCCGGGGTCTCAGGATCACGTGAGAGTACGCCGGCCCGAATTCCAGGCACGCTTCGTCAACGGAGAATGCGTGCAGGTCCCCTACCCTCTTAACGGAGGCCAATGCAGTCAGAAGTGCCGTCTTCATTGACAGGAAGTTAAGCTCGACTGACTGTAAAGGCTCAAAGGGAGCACTACGCAGGGCGGTTAAGACCACTGCGAGGTCCCAAGAGGGTACGAGAGAAGGGCGAGGAGGATTCAGTCTCCTCGCTCCTCTCAGGAACCTGACGATCAGGTCATGCTTCCCCAAAGACTTACCTTCTAAAAGGACATGCTGTGCGGCAATAGCGGCGACATAGACCTTAAGGGTGGAGGGAGACAGCCTTCGCTCCAACCCTTCTTGAAGAAAGGAAAGCACAACACTGATCGAACAACTCCGGGGCTCTTCTCGGCGAGAAGAGCACCAGCTGACAAAGAGGTTCCACTTCAACGCATAGAGGTGTCTCGTGGACGACGCTCTAGCGGAAGTGATGGTAGCCGCCACCGCTGGTGGCAGGGTACTCAAACCTGCCTCGTCCCGTCCAGGAGCCACACGTGGAGGTTCCACAGATCGGGACGAGGGTGCCATAGGGTGCCCCGTCCCTGAGAAAGGAGGTCCTTCCTCAGAGGAATCGGCCAAGGAGGTGCTGTCGCGAGGAGTACAAGTTCGGAGAACCAGGTCCGGGTGGGCCAGTACGGCGCGACCAGAGTGACCTGCTCCTCGTCCTCCCTGACCTTGCGCAGGAGTTGCGCAAGAAGGCTCACTGGGGGAAACGCATATTTGCGGCCCCGCGGCCAGCTGTGCGCCAGAGCATCCGTGCCGAGCGTGCCCTCGGTCAGGGAATAATACTGGGCGCAATGGGTCGAGTCGTGAGAGGCAAACAGATCTATCTGTGCGTCCCCGAACTGGTCCCAAATCAGCTGAACCGACTGGGGATGGAGTCGCCAATCTCCCGGGAGGGGCTGAAACCGTGAGAGCTCGTCGGCTGCACAGTTCAGAGCTCCTGGAATATAGATGGCACGAAGCGACCTCAGATGCTTCTGACTCCAAAATAGGAGGTGGCGGGCGAGTTGCGACATACGGCGAGAGCGCAGACCACCTTGACGGTTGATGTACGCTACAGTCGCGGTATTGTCTGATCGGACTAGTACATGCTGGCCCGAGAGCACGGCTCGGAAGCGGCGCAGGGCGAGCTGTACAGCCAGCAACTCGAGGCAATTGATGTGCCATAAGCGGTGGGGTCCTGTCCAGGAGCCCGCGGCAGCACGTCCATTGCACATGGCACCCCAGCCCGTGGTGGAGGCATCTGTCGTTACAACAACATGCCGGGAAGCTCGTTCCAGAGGCACTCCTGCCCGTAGAAAGCTGAGGTTCCCCCACGGGGTGAAGGTCTGACGGCAGGTCGGAGTAACTGGTACTCGGAGCGTGCCGTGTTGCCATGCCCACCTCGGGACTCGGTCGCGAAGCCAAAGCTGAAGCGGTCTCATATGAAGCAATCCGAGCGGCGTTGCCGCGGCAGCAGATGCCATATGCCCCAGGAGCCTCTGAAAAAGTTTCAGTGGAACCGCACTCTTGCCCTCGAACTGTCTCAGGCAAGTCAGCAGTGACTGCGCGCGCTCGCTCGTAAGCTGCGCGGACATGGCGACCGAGTCGATCTCCATACCGAGAAAAGAGATCCTCTGCGCGGGGCAAAGTTTGCTCTTCTCCCAGTTGACCCGAAGGCCCAAACGGGCTACATGGCGGAGTACCAAGTCCCTGTGTTCGCAAAGCTGATCTCGAGAGTGAGCTAGAATCAGCCAGTCGTCGAGATAGTTCAGAATGCGAACCCCGTGTTCCCGGAGGGGAACAAGGGCTGCCTCGACGACCTTCGTAAAGACGCGAGGGGACAGGGCTAGCCCGAATGGGAGAACTGCGTACTGATATGCCTGACCCTCGAAAGCAAACCGAAGGAACGGTCTGTGTCGAGGGAGAATGGAGACATGAAAGTAGGCGTCCTTCAGGTCGATCGCTGCAAACCAATCCTGGTGCCGCACACATTCGAAAACGCGTTTGGCGGTGAGCATCTTGAACGGCAGCCTGTGAAGGGAGCGGTTCAGAACGCGCAGGTCCAGGATTGGCCGTAACCCACCGGTTTTCTTCGGGACAATGAAATACGGGCTGTAGAAGCCGGTCTTCATTTCGGCTGGAGGGACAGTCTCGATCGCACCCTTCGCCAGCAGGGTAGCAACCTCCGCTCTCATGATAGGGGCATTGCCACCGACCAAAGTGGAGCGGACTCCCCTGAAGCGGGGAGGAGACCGCGCGAACTGAATCGCGTAGCCGAGCCTGATCGTTCGTGCGACCCAGCGGGACAGGTTGGGAAGCTCTAGCCAGGCTCCCAAGGACTGAACCAGCGGGGTCATGCGAACCACAGACTTCCCGTCGGTGGGGCAGCGAGGCGGTATGACTGACCCAGACGTGGACGGCATAGCGGCCCGATGTGGGGGTGCAGTCATGAACCGCGCCCTGACAGAGGAGACCAGGGAAGGACGAACGTTCCACGGGGGTCTGCT